TCTCAAACTTTTGACGTACATGAATTTTCATTATCAAGGGCAATGCTTTAGCACTATAAATCTTTCATAATGTGATATACGCTATGCCAATTCAAATTCTATACTAAATAATTTACAATGTTATATCCTAGTTCGAAATTCTTAGCGACGTGCAAATGCTATAAATATAATGTATTATTTTGTACGCGCAAGGAAAACAAGCAGCGCATGAAGTCATTGATAATAAGGGACTTATTTTAAGTACGTACATAGTATGAATGTGTAACGTTTTAATTAAGTTATTCTATAAGAAATGACGTCTTCTAATATGATGTCATGTCGGATCGCGTGGTGTTTCTAGTTTCCATCTCTTGCTACTTAATTAGGAGTTGAGGCAAGAAAATAAAATAAATGTCTGAGGAATTTGATGGAGTCCATCCACATGCACATCAGTCACGAACACGAAATATGTATAAATTTTCCTGATAAACTACATTATACTGTGATTTTTTTACATATTTTACACTAAAAATTATAGCTCTATATTGCATAGAAATATACTTATCTATACGGAAGACATATCAATCACGGTTCACGATTGATAAAATAAATTAGACAGTACAGAAAAGTATTAAAAACATATATTTTCTTAATTGTACTGTTTAAGCATGAAGAATGCTTGATGAAACATACCATTCAGGTTGATTTCAACTTATCCAGCCCATACATTCTCTGCACGTTAGAGGCGAGATTTACAGTTAGCACAAACACCATAGTACTTTGGATAAAATGAAAAATAAAAATAAAATTGAGTTCATTGAACTTAGGTTCCATTTTCAAATAGAATAACTCATTAATTTGGTCATAATTAACTCGCTTAAATATATAGTTTTATTTCAATTAGTTCATCCAACTCTGTTAAAGACACTTGGTTAGAGTAACATACTCGAAACAAGATTATAAATTGAGTGCTTCGATATCGACAAAATAAAGCTGAAAAGAAAATATGAATGTAGTGGCTCACCATAGTATCGTAGTTTCGTTCTAACTCAGGAACTAGTAATGAAATTAGGGTTTGCATTTCCTTTTTAACCATATCATCATTTGCATCTTTGGCCTTGAGTATATCTATCAAACTTTTGGTATCGGGCACTATTTTGAGTGCTACCTACAAAAAGAAAGTGCATATAAATTAAAAAGAATAAAAAAATCTTATATCGGTAAAGAAGGAATATGTTCAAAGATTTTACAAAGTGCTTATTTGAAGTCATTTACTTTAGTCGGACAAAACAAAAGGTGATGCGATTTCAGTGAAGCGAGATTAATAGTTCGCGGTTTTGACAATTCTCTACATGTATATAGAGGATTCCCAATACCATGTTCATACCAATAAATACGAAAAAAAAAAGAAAAAAAAGAGAGATTAAAAGCATGTGTAGAAAGTGTTTATTAACGATTTAATTTATAAATAGATAAAAATGAACAGTTTATAAATATGAACCAAACTAGGCTAAGACACTAGACAAGGTAATGTTACTTTATATGCTGCAGAAGAAATCCATCCGTGCCACGGCTTAAGAGTGATATTATATGACTCTTCGATGGCTAGTTCGATGCTCCTCTCAAAATCGTCGACAAGTAATTTTAATAAAGTTATTGAAAAATCAAGAGATCTGCAAATGACAATTGAATATAGAAATGTAGATTAGACCACTTGACAAAATCAATAGGTTGCTTTATTTGTTAATAAAGAGAAATTTCAGCATGCATTTAAAGTTCATTTACAATTTACATTTTGCATACTGTAGTTTAGTTATTGGTAACAAAAACACATTTTGTAGGGGAAATTAGAACTATTTACAAATTCACAAAGAAATGTTACCTGGTAAGCCAAACAAAGGCTTTACTGCATGAAGGACCCTTTTTGGCCTTTCCTTCGCTGACCTCTTTCTTCAATATTTCAACCACATCCCAATATGTCAATGGATCAGAATCATAGACCGTCTCCAATCTCTAGACATTGAAGATATAATTAAGTACAAGCTTAGTTTAATTAACAGATTATTTCTTTTTTGTACTCATAAAACTACTCCTAAATGGTCTTTTAACTCAGGTAGAGTAATGTTATGTAGTCTCACTGAGGTTACAATCCCAGTTTAGGTGAATTATTGCAACGAATGAAAGTCAACGTGAAGACTTGGCTCTTCGCCTCTTTCTTAGCCATTAATGCAGACTTGGATGCATGAGAGACCAATGCGTGTGTTTTGCACAAATATACAATGAAAATGAGGCCATGAATTTAACTTTTAAGTTAACGAAGCATAATTTTCATAGTATCAATAAAAATATAAGTATTTAACTTACTTTTTAAATAAGTAACTTTTAAGTACGACTCAAATGCTCTTAAATCCTATCCTGTAATTATAGAGTGGACACGCCAAAGAAGCCATTTGGCCTGTAGTTCGTAATTTACCTGGATATTCTGATGAATGTCTTGCCTCAGGACAGCCATTGTTGGCCCGATCTTATCTGCATATAGTACAGTTGAAGTATCCAATGTTTAAACAAAAACGTTTCCAGGAATTAATCACTCAAAATAAACATACAAATTATTGATCAAATATATATACGGAGAGAGAGAGAGAGAGGTATGAACCAAGAACTCGAATCAGAAGGTTGCATATTGAGAGAAAGGGTTTGACGGGAATTTGGAGTGTTGTGTGCAGATCATCTCCGCATCTCTCCACCGCAGGTTTAACGCCGTCCCTCTCCTCCGCAGCCGAGAGCTCTTCAATGGCGGACCTTATCTCCGATGACGTCTCGGCCGCCTCTCTCTGCCGCTGCATTTCAGTACCCTTTTACTTTCTCCTCCTGCTGTAAGTTCTCTCTCTGTGTCCCACGATATGTATATCTCCACGCCTTGGTATTCCAATTTCATTTTTTTTTTAAATATTGTGTTGACTAGAGAGAGATGTATATGTGATTATAGAAATGGCATCAAATGAATTTCTATGAACTGACCTAAATGTCAGCAGGGGAAAACTTATTAGGTCTGAACTCTATAAGATTCACTATTATTTTTGTATTTTTTTAAATATTTCAATATTCATTGCTTATGCTAGACATTTGATTGTGACCTCTTAATTTGACCTTGAAATTATCATTTAAACTTGTGTAAAACAAAAGAGAAAAAATAATAATAATAATAATAATGAGATAACATTACTCTTGGGGGTGAGACTGTCCAAGAGAAGATCTATACATGATTAAAACTCCCTTTTCGACAACACCACACTTGTCTCGAAGGATCAAGTTATATTGATGTTTCAACCTGTCTTTGTATGAAGATTAGCTCCACATTTAAGTAGGATAAGGAAATAAGATATTGCATTGTTTAGTCCATGTCGATCAATGGTTTCTCTTGAGGCTTTCTTCTTTGTATTAGGCAACAAATAGGATCGGATGAATTTGAAAGAATTGAACGAGAAATCATGAGCGAAAAATCTTATGTACGATTATCTAGACTTTAGAGAGTGGTAATAATGGTTATGTTTTAACTACAATCACCAATAAAATATAAACGGAAAAACTTTTAAAACCTCTTTTCAATCCTAGGAGACTGAACTTCAATTCCGTACGTGCAATAAATTGAATTAGTGTTTTTAAATATTTAGTAAGAATGGCAAAATAACTTGACCTAGAGATGGAAACGAGTAGGGATCATATTCTCCGTCTCCATTCCCGTCCCGTCTTATGTGGGGTCGGAGCATGGAACCACCTCAATTCTCATTTGTTGTCCTGATAAACTTATTTTTTGATGTTAAATACAATATCCAATGATTAATTATTATTATAACTAAATAAAAATAAAAATGAGAAACTTAAAAAATAAAGCATGATTAAATCATTTATACGTCTTAATCCTCTGCAATGAATGGTATTCTTCCGATGTTGAAGAAAATAAAACTTCTTCACCAAGTCTCACACATAGATAATATGAAAAATTAATCACACATCGGATTCTTAAAGAAAGAGTGTTTTAAGCACTCGATTGACCCTCATTATTCCACATTATAATAAGAGAAATAATAATTTTTTTGAGAATGTGTGGTTAAAATAGAAAAAATAGTTTTTGGGTTCAAAGATAATATTGTTTTATAGAAAAATATGTGGTTGATAAAAATAGAGAAAAAAAAATGAATTATAACGGAGGCTTGAAAGTGATCTATAAAAGGATTTTGTACTTAATTAAATAACAGTCTTCATTAAATGTGTTATGGAGTGAATTTGTGATCATTTATGTTTTAAGAGCATTTTCAAAAGATTTCCTATTTTTAAGGAATTGAGATCCACTATTTAAAATTGGCCGTCCAACTTGTTGTTTATCCAATGATTTATTGACACGTCACTTTAAATAACATGTCAAATTTTTCTCTCACTACTACTCGTGTTTAACAATAAGTGTAAAATATGTATAATACTATTCGTAGCGAAGAATATCGATAGTCGTCCTACGTGACATACGTATAGCAATTTGTGATTTGATACATTAATATAGTAGCTTTTTATTGACTTATCCACCAAATAACAAATCGTTACATGTATGTCACATAAGACGACTAGTTTTCAGTATGAATAACATTACTCTATTTTTAAAGATCATATTGTTCTTTAACATGCTCTTTTTTTTTTAACACTTAATTTAACTATTCTAATATTCTATTTTCACTATCTTCCCTCTAAGTATTATATTATTTTCATCCGTTAAAAAATTGAAATACATTGAATGGGTTTAAATCTCAAATATTTCACTTTCCTCCCATCTTATTAATTTCACTTACCAAACAAAGGGAAGTTGTATTCTCTCTTGCGAGCATGAAAATTAATCCATATTCCGCATCTCCTCTTTTTCTATTATCAATTTGCAAATATAATGAAAAATTAAAGATCTAAGGTTCGAGCTTATAATTTAACCCATGTTTGGTAGTGGATGAAAATCGAATTTTTGTACATTTGAATAAAAGTTGATGAAATGTATGATTAAAAGTTCACGAACATTACGGATCTCATAAAATATATGATTCAAAATAATTTTAGGCGGAAAATGAATTTACAATTGAAGTAGGTATATATTGTCATAAGCCACGCCGGCTAATATTAATCTATAATCGTATTCTTGGGGTTGAAACATTTATTAATTTGAAATCCAAAAACACTTGTGGTTATTAGATTCATGAATTGGGATATGATATTCAAGTTTTGAATTATTTTATTCTTAAAATAATGCTACGATTATATAACAATTTGTTCCTGATGTAAGATTAATTAAGGATAAGCTGATTAATTAATGATACTAATTAAAATAGTACATTATTTTCTATAATCCCACTTGCAAGACAATTGACCTGTGCAAAAACTAATTCCGCGTATAATTAGCCATCCACCGTATGTTCATTTTCCTTGATTCTTTGTAGTTGACGAAGAAATGTGATGAAGTCAATAAAATTTATTCTCTGAGAGACGACGTTTTATTTTCTGTGAAATGAGAGGGGTAAGTTGAGACAATATTATGTTTGCAAGATAGACTGATTTTGGGTTAAAAAGTCGAGTTCAAAGTCAACAATTAATTTTAATAATACATTTTAAGGAACACACAATTTTTATCAAAAGTCTTGTCAAACAATCCCTAATTATAAACTAAATTATATTTAAAAAAGAAGTAAACGACCAAATATTTTTAAAATAGAATAATACTATTCATAGTGAGGACTATCGGTAGTCACCCTACGTAACATGTATGTGACAGTTTGTTATTTGATATATTGATGTTGTAGTTTTTTATTGCCTCGTGCTAAAAATAACAAATTGTCAATGTATGACATGTTAAACAACTATCGATAGTTCTCACTATAAATAACATTACTCTTTAAAATAGTAATATTCCGGATATGTTGGAGGTTTAGTTTTTCATGTTCTTGTTCAATTCAATTTTATATTCAAATTTAAAGATGCATCAAATTAAAATGAATAATGATACTTGTACATAATGTCGTCATATAATGATTTACATACATGAAGTGGGTGTCAAAAAGAGAGTGAATTTTTTTTTTTTAGTTTTTTGGTTAAAGAAATCTGGATCCAATAATATTTTACCATGTTATGTGTATGTAAATCATTATATAAATTTCACGGTCAATACATGAACAAAATACATATCATATATTTAATGGAAGCATAAATCCCACTTGACGAGAGAACGAGTTTAAAATATTCGTATAAATATAAATAAATAAATTTCTTTTCTCTAATTGCTAAGTAGTTTTTACAAGTTTTTGGTAATCAATATGAAAATTCTTTCAAGTTCTAACGACTTAAAAATTAGAACACACATCTTTAATTCAATTATGACTCTCGTTAATGCTATTTGATCTTGCTTGAAATCAAAATTCTTATCGAGATAAATTACACTTTGACCATCACATAACAACATGGTAATGCATTTTATTATTAGATTAACTCTTAAATTTTCCAGTTGTTTTGCACGACATCCTTACTGGCATATTTTAAATTAGGTTGATTAGTTTGCTAACCATGACCATTATAACGTGTGAACGTGGTAGATTCCAAAGGAATCATTTTTTTTTTCCAGACCAATTAATTAGGTTAAATTAAATATATGAATTTATATATTTATTTTTACTTGTATAACATATTGCTAGATCTTGACTTTTATATTATAACTAGGTTTAAGCAACGTGCAATGCACGTTTGCTTAGTTTATATATAATTTTTTTTTTGTTAAGAATTAAATTTTTATTAATAAATATGTAATTTTTTGGTTAATTAAATAACTAATGATGTAATGTTTATGTAATTGATAAATAATTACACATTATAATTTATTTAAAAAAGAGCATTAATAGAATCTATAGCATCGTCCTATATATAAACATCGCTCATAGTTTTATAAAATTTATTTGAGATAATTTTGATTCTAAGATAACGATTCAGCATTTTCTTCATCTTGCACTGCTTCAATAGAGAGGATATTAATCTGTCTATATTTTTTCTCCTTTAGTTTCTCTGGATTTACATAAACTTGAATCTTCCAAATTTCTTTTCATAATTTCTCTGCAACGCTTTTAACATATGGTCGATTTTCCTACAAAATAAATTTTGAATATGTTT